CTCAATCCATTCGAACGGGATATAGCATCTCTTAGGATCCTTGAATCTGCTGCTGATCCCTCCCATCCAGGTAATACATAAATAAATTGACAATCTTGAGAACATACGCCTAAAACATTTGTTGCTACCTCACCCTTCCTTGTCCGATACCTTGGCTTATCAACTTGCAACGGATTCACCTTGATGTATGTCCCATCTAACGCTCCTAGGCAATTCTGTAATTCGTAAACAGGAAAATAATAATGAAAATGACATAAATAATAATTAACATCTTCAACTAATTTGTAAATACAGCAAAAGAGTGTAAGTAAGAAGTTACCTTGAACCATTTCCACCTTTCATCGGTTGAATTTTCAGGGACTGGCTCAGGTCTCTTAAGTAAAACCGTATGGCACCGTAGCACAGCCTGCAAAACCTTGGCGAACTGTCTACTAATAGTTTCACCCGACCGTAAGAATTGTCTTTTAATGATCCTATTCTTAACATCATGAGCCAGAATGTGTAGAAATATTGCAACGAGCTCTTCCACACTCATGTGCTTCGTTGGTTCAAGGCCCCCAACAACTTTAAGTAATTCACACAACCTAATGAAGGATCTCCTATCCATCCTGGTATTCTCAATACAAGCCGTTTCACTAATGTAAACTATTCTATGGAAATATATAGTCCTTAAATTCGCCCTTCTATAACAATTCCAGGTGACTCTTTTCCTAGCATTTCTTCTTTTTTCGAGATCAGCTAATAATAAAGCAAGTATAGTAATAAACATCATTGTAAGTTCATTCAAAGACTCCAAGTAACATATGAGTACAACAATGAGACTGCACTCCATTCCATTCATGTTTGTCAGTGGGAGTTTCGGTTTCTGCAAGCTATAAAGATTAATATTAATAAATTTTGCGTGATGCCCACTCATTGCTCATAGCAAAGCACGAGAATAACGAAAAGGACAGTGGCATACAGAATGACTACATTCAGTATTGATTTACCTAAAAAGGACTCCGCTTTGTAATATCAATTGTGGTTTGCCATTGCGAGACATTGTTCACTAATTCTGTATAAATTTTATTCCTATTTGAAATATAATTGTACATAACAACTCAAAGGACAAGATCCTATTTTATACCTTATTTTGTAAATTTAATTCGAGGTATATTGTTATATATATACAATTGACAAGTGGATTAGAAGAACATTAAACACATGCTGGAAAAAATATGGAAAAAGATAAAACAATTCAAAAAAAAAAAAATTGGCCATTTAAGGATATGCCAAAACCTTATCTGTGAATCTAGAGAATTAGCAAAATAGCCAAAAGATGCATACTAATTCATACACACCAGTCCTAGAGGAATCAAAAAAGAAGTTGTACTAATAATTTTACAACAACAACATCCACTCATGCTTCTTCAAGACACAAGCCCATCTCTCTTTTGTTCATAGTTTCACAAAAACAAGGTACCCCACATTGTTTGTGGAATAAATGACAATTGTTTATAGATCCAACACAACCCAAAAAAGTAAATTTTTCACATTTGTAATGAACTCGGTCGAAAAATAAAATCAAAAACACAAAAAATGAAGAAATATTTCGACTTTTATGTATGACAATTGTAATGAAATGCTGTAAAAGTTATAAGTTAACAGATAACATTGCTTCATGGGAACTTTTCGAGCAACTGAAAAAAGGGAAAATAGGTCCAATGTTCAAAATCAAACGACAAGTGAAAGAAAAACAACAAAATGTTAGCATTTAGGTAAAGTAAATGCTTCATGACAACACATTTCACGGCAAAAATCCAACCTTCGTACTTATGGACCACAACGAACACAGCGTACCTGAATCAAACAAGTTTGAAGTATTTTTTTCGGCCTGTGAAGTCCGACCTCTTCAAGTTTTTGTCTTCGTCAAATCTATGAAATGATAAAGAAGGTTAACAATAATCGATGAACATTCAACTGTTAGTTAGAAAAGAAATTACATGTGATTCCAAAACCTACCAGCAACACGGTGGAGAGGCAACAGCTTCACAGCAAAACGATTGTGGATGAAAGGATACTTGTGATTAAATTTTCTCTCACCCCTCTCTTTATATCTAGGGCTAAGGGTGTTTTGGTCTTAAAAACTTGGACCCATTTTCCCCCCGCGTTGGCAATTGCTTATTCCACAATTTCAATGGCAAACTTCATCAACGTAAAATGGTGGCAAACACCTTCACCGCAAATTAAGTTTCCAATGGACAAACTTTTCTCCCCCCTACCAAACACAGCAAACTACTTTTCCATACCACACTTTCCATTGGAAAAAAAAAATTGCTGCATACCAAACACCCCCTTAATCTTCCCTTGAAAAGATTTCGTAGGATAAAGAAAGAAATGGAATTGCTTTTTTTATGGGGAAGCAAACTATTTATTTAATTATTTTCATGGCGATGAAAGCAAACACGAGAAAGCACCACAGGGCCGGCCACGTTTGATGACGACTGCACGTGAATTAGGAAGCAAAATGACAAAAGAACCCTCAACAGCCAAAAAAGGTAACGCAGAGACGACGTCGTTTGCATGCAGCCAAATCTGGGTCGGTGCGGCGTGTAAGACAAGAGAAAATAATACACGTGTAATGTTACGTAATATAAATAACTGACACCATCAAGTGGGTCCCACAGACCGATCATACTTAAGTCTTTTCTCTCTCGTGTGATTTCGCGGACACATGCAGGCCAGAAAAATTCTTCATAAACTTGTATATTCTAAAGTTTGGTATATTAAATCTATAAACTAATTAAAATAAAAAATTACACGAATGCAATTCTAAATGTCTATCAGTCACATGCAGATATACATATTTTTCTCCAACCTCGATTTGAGGAACCCGGGTTAGTGTTTAAGTAAAAAACATACTGTATTGTACCCAAAAATAAAATAAAATATTGTTCTCGAGTAGAGTTGGCAAAAACGAATCAATTCATCGAGTTGACAAAAATGAGGCAATCCATCGGATTGGCTTGTAATCAGTCAAAAATGAATTGGATTGAGTTGGCAAAAATGAGCTGCCAACCCAGCTCGTTTCAACCCGTAAAAAAATGAGCCAACTCGCGGGTCAAACGAATCAGCTCGCGGGTTGAGTTTTTTTTTATTATAAAATGTACAAAATATAATATACAAAAATGGATAAAACCCACATACATGTTGTCATCATTTTTTTTCTTTATCTAAACCTAAGTCCCTAATCTTCTCACATCCTTGCTATTTTTATATTGTTAGGCTGTGCTGGCTCTGTTAGGTTCAAATATCTTACTCACTTGGTAATAAGTGGTTCTGATTATTTCTTGACGTTGATGCAAATTTGTTGTGAAGAAAATTTGAAACTAAAATATTTTGTTTTAATTTCTTATTTTGTAACCCTTTGTTTAAGCTAATGGAAGTCACATAGCTGGTGTATTAATACTACATAATCATTTAAATAGGCTGAAAATGAGCCACCCCGCGATCAATTTTCGAGCCAATCAGCGAGCCAATTTTCGAGTTAACTCGCGAGCTATTTTTGCAAGCCAACCAACGAGCCATATTTTTGAATCAACCCTAACCCGACTCGGGTCAGGTTGGGTTGGATTTTCTGGCTCGTTCTTTTTTCGAGCCAACCTTAACCCGACTCGTTTTTTTTTTTGGTTGAATGTGAGTTGGGTCGGGCCAGACCGGATTAACCCGTTTTGCCAACCCTATTTGTAGAACTCTTCCTGTACCTTTATTATTATTATTATTAAAAACAAAAATTCATTTTTAGTATTTTTTTACGATTTATTAATTATAATAGAAATTAAAGATAAATAAATACTAAATAATTAATCAAAAACTATGATACGATGTCATAACAACTTTCCTAGTTGACTTCACAAATAGACACTTTACCACCCTAACCACACAACCACCGTGTTCTTATATGTATAATAACAATGTTCTCCAATCAATCAAACTTTATTTTAGCTACTTCTATCCACTATGGTATTTATAGTTGATTTTCAGATAAACTGTTATATAAGTAATGAAGAAATTATAAATTATTCACTTGCCATTAAACGCTTTGTTTAGACTGTGCTCCTTTGGAATATATGTATGTGTGTTGCAAAGACACAATATACATTCCTAGTTGCAAATTGATTGTCCATTTTCTCTGTTGTTTACCGCCAACCAGTCAATGTCCTCATACAAAGTAAGGTCCAAAATGTTATTTATATAATAGAATTTGCTTGATCCAAAATATTTTAATCTTTTCTCTTAACAATCATAAAGTATATTGTCCAAAATTAAAATTCGAACAAGTTATCATTACATATGGATTATTTTGTCGAGCGCGAGTTGAATTAGTGATAAATTAAGAATTTTATATTTTGATTAATTTTTGTAGTCACAGATGAAAATTTTTGCAACAAACACATTTATAAATAAATATTGTTAATGTAAATAAAATAAAATAAAATTCTAAAATTTGTCAATGTAAATAAATATTGTTATAAAATTTCTCATCTACAAGAAGAAAAATAAATGCCTTTATCTATTTATCTAGTTGATCTTGCCTCGACCGGGCCACTGATCAAATCGTTAATAATTTCTCCATATATTTTTTAATTTTAATTTCTCCATTAGTTAATTGATTAAATAATTAATTAATTCGATTCTTTCCAACATTATTTTCTCTATTCTAATTTTAAACTTTAGATCTCTAATTAATAAAAAAGAGACGAACTTCTTCCTTACTTGAACTAATAATTATTAATTTAGAGACCTCGTCAGTTTACAAATTTTTTTTACAATTACACTGTATGATTAATATAGGACCGGTCCTATATAGTGTAGTTTGTAAACAAAAAAGTTTGTAAATATATCCTACCCCATTAATTTAAGTGACATTTTAATTAGAAGTTTTAAATTTAAGTCATAAAAATTAATGAAATGGCCTTGGTCCCCTAATGAATTAAGAAACTGTAAACAAAACTGAAGTATTGGGGAACAGATATCAATTTAGGGTTTTTCTTTACCGTAAACCTTTTGAGATTGACGCAATCTTCCGCGACTACCGGTGAGTTCAATCGAAGCTCTGCTTCTTTTCTATCAATCAATTTTTGGGGTTTTCTTCTTCTCACTGTTTATGGTGTGCATCTGTGACATTTTCAAGTTCAACTGAGAACTTTCTTGTCTTACGTTTTGTGGTTATTTGTTTTGTTTGTAAATGATTATTGCAATTTCCCTTCAGCTCTTTCTGTTTTCGGCCCAATTTTTTTATTTTAAATTCCAGAGGCTATTATGTGGAATATGCAAATGCCCACTTGCAGAGACAGTGCAATTTTGTTTTTTTAGAATGGTTTTTCATGTGTGTCTGGCACTTGCACTCGACCAATGAATATTGGTTGTTGGGTAACTGTGTTGGTAGAGGATACATGTAGCATTTCTATCTTTGCATGTGTATGTGTGTGTGTTGTTTTGGTTGTCACTTGGATTGAGACTTTTGCACTCTTGGTTTGAAACACAGGGATAGAAATAAGGGGTGGCATAGAAACAGTAGAAATGAAGGCAAACTGAATGAGCACAAAATGACTAGGTTGTCTTTCAGGCCACGGCCACTTGATATTCACAAGAAACTCCCCATTGTCAAGTCCATCAAGGACTTTGAAGATGATGAAACGCCTACTTCTACCCGTAATTCCCAATTGCTACGTATTTTTCCTGAGGTTGATAATGAGGTATGCGCCCTCTACGTTGAAGGGGTTTTCCTTTCTTGCTTCCTGGTGATGTTTTGTTGCAGCTGTTTCTGGTTATTCTGGTTTACTTTTTGTGCATGCCACTATTTTGGGTTGCTTTAAGTCTACAAGTTTTCGAATTACCTATAACTGTGTTCTAAGCTATATGCTGGATTGTAGTTAGCATGACGAGCTTCACTGTTGTACTCTTACTCACTGGCACTTTGCCTTTTGCAAAACAGGAAAAAAATGTTGACCCTATTAACCTGTTCAATCTGTTATTTAAGAATTATTAGGACATGATTACCTCAATAGCATCTATGATCAATTAGCAATAAATATTGTACAGAAGTTATTGTAGTTGAAATTTCATATATTCAAAAGGTTGTCATAATTACCCTGTTCCCCAGTTCCCCTATCAAAAGCTGATAGTAAGTGTCACTAACAACTATTCCAAAAGCTTGAGATGTTAGGTGAAGGCACATTAATAGTTTTATATTATATTTCTAATACATCCCCTTGCAGATGAGTCCTGTGGTTTTGAAGTATGGACAATAAACAAATCCACCTACATTGTGCTGAGACCCAACTCTTTATTAGGAGATGGGGACGACCAATATCACAATGTAGACCATTTGGTCATAGAGATCCCAAAGCATAAGTTGTTAGGTGAAGACACATGAATGATTTTATGTAACATCCCTAATAGTAGGAAAAAACAAGCTAATATCTATTTCTTATACAAATAGTGTCACTGTTTGCGTGTTTCTTATATGGCTATAGTTTTTAAAATTCATGATATGTGATGCTTTATAGAGGGCAAGCTTGGAGGAGTGGTAAAGCTGCTCATTTATGATTGAAAAGTCATAGGTTTGAATCCAGGAAGTCGCCTCTTTGCAAATATGCAAGGGTGAGGCTGCGTACAATGATAGTTCTCACTCCGACCCTCACTAGTTAGGGTTTAATGGGGAGTGGTTTTTTATGATATGCTACACTTTAATTAAATTGTAAATCTTCCCACGACTGGATATTTTATCAGTTATTTCTATTTATTTTTCTTAGGTACTTCCAGTTCCTAGCAATCCCAATAAGAAAGTGGCTTCTGAAATACCTACACCTCAGTTTGTTGTTGTGGATACATACGAAAGGGATTACTCTTGCACTTTCTCTCAACCAAATTCTTACTTGCGGGCTAGAGGAGGTGCTGCCAGTGCCACAAAATAGAATTTTCAGTTAGAATACATTTGGAAGGTTCTTTTGAAAACTCCAACACTACTGAAAATGCTTTCAATTATTGCAGCTCGGGCTGAGATTGGAGAGTTTGTGGAGTATGACTTGGACGACGAAGATGAAGATTGGCTTTTAGAGTTTAACGAAGAAAGGAAGATTCTGACACCTGAGATGTAACTTTTTAGATTGAGTTCTGGTTATATTGATTTCAGTTAATTAATTAATTTTTGGTTGGTAGAGTATGGTTTCTTTTTACTGGCTTTCATCTATCATTCTGTTTTGCTTTTATTTATTTTGTGATTTTGTCTTTCCAGCAATGTATTGCAGATTGCTTGAAGTCAATTTGGTACTATTGATCATGGCTTAATTGAATTATTTAACTATCATTTCTGTCACACTGAATCAACTTTTATGGTCTAGAAATTAATAAGGATATTTGAATTTTGAACTGGAATTGCATTATTGTGAAGAAAACCAAGATAGTATGGATCCTGCTCTTGCAAAATGGTTGTTTTAGGCATTCAACGAAGTGTCTTTATTAGTTTCTAAACTACTGAGGTGTATGATTGGTTGCTGCTGAGGGGTGGTTGATAACAGTGACAATTGAACTTCATTGATGTATGAGCATTTTTTAAAAGAAATTCTGATACTGTTTAAATCATGCCAAAACTGTTATCATATTGCACTTTTTCGAGCTTCTGTTATTCTGTACTCCATGCTCATTTTTTTCACAAATCCTGGCTCAGACGTTCATAATGAAAGCTTTGATGAAGCCCAAATGTGTTAGTTCATTTATTAAAATCTTCTGACAAAAGAAACAAGTGATTAAAATCTGATTCATAATTGTTTAATTTTTTGATTTTTCCAAATTTTTTTGAACAACCCTTGATAAAAAATAGCTATAAATTTTTAAAGGATCATGTCTCCACCATTTAAAAGTACAAATAAAATTTTCTCTGTAATAAGTAGTTGAAATTGAAGCTATAAGTTGATAATCATGAGGTAAAAGGAAATTTGTTTATTGAATCCACCCTAGGTTTTCATTTGAAATGTGCTTGCTTATATTTTCTTCAAAAGCAATCAAGTCTTATCTCCCTAGATGGGGTTGGTTAAATGGGTAAATTGACACCGTTGGGCTTTATCTAAAACCAAATTTTCAATAAAACTTTTTAGAATAAGGTCTTTTCTAATGGTTTTCTCCTAAAGTTTTCTTATATCTTAATCTACCCTATCATCCCTTTGATCTACGTTTCTCACTGGAGCCTCTACTTTTCCATATAAAAGAAGGATTATCTTTATTTACTTTATCCTTGGAAAAGTTCTAATTGTTAATCTGGTGAAGAGTCCTATGATTTTGTTGCATCTGTAGGGTGTTAGATTTTCTTTAGGTCCATGTTACAACTTACAAGTGTCGGAAGCTTGCCCCAATTCAGATGCTTGAGATTGGTTGTGATAGAATTCAAGAGCTGGAAGAAAATGATAGAAAGTGAGGAGAGACAATTAGAGAGAAAAGATAAAGTCTATAATTCTGAATCTTTGATTATTATTCTAAGCTATCCCCATAGAGATCTGTATAATTATATAGTTAGAGGTGTGACTCTAACTGAGTAACCAGCTGACAGTTGTCAGTTATTTACAAGGGCATATTAACATAAGATCTAACTACTCTAACAGGTTGAAGTGCTAAAATGCTGATTAATTAAACCACAACCAGGTTTTTTCAAATGTCTTTAAAGATTCAGAGTGCTACCTGCTATCGGAGCTGCCCCTTCTTAAAACCGATTTGTGCATTTTCTGAAGGGTATAATATAGGTAATAAGATATGTTTGATCTGTATTTTCTGAAAGAAAGGAGATATTTGTTGTTGAGAAAATGCAGTAAGTTCAGATGGTGAAATCACTCAAAGGTTCCTCTTAAAAATCCAGTTAGTGAACATACTTGGATTTCCTAGTAGGCATCACTTTCTGATGACTTTCCATTTGGATCTGTTTCCCATGTTGAGGGTGAAATACTGATACAGAAGAGTCACTTGAAAAAATAAATTCACAGTTACAGTTCAACAACTATTTTGTGACATTTGAGTTGGTTTATAATTCATGTTTTATTGTCCATACACATCTTCAATTTTTTCTGAATGAACAAAATAATAGAAGATTTAAAGCATAGAAGTGCTGATAAGAGTATCTTTAGTGCAAGGCTTCTTATTGGAGCTTCTGGTGCTCCTAAACCATTCAAATTCAGTCAGTCTTCTAAGTTCTAATGTATTGAGTTTTTTACTGTTTGCCACTAATCTTTTCATATCTTCCGTAACATTAATATAAGATGTACATTATATATGTTGTTGCGTTGTTTTTCTGGTTTTCATTTAATGCCTGGTAAATAGGTTTGAGAGCCTTATTTTCAAGTTGGAGGTGTTGGATCATAAAGCTCGTGAAAGAGCTGGAATTATAACGCCTACTCTTGGTTCACCAATTCCTGTGCAGCTACGGCTTGACACTGCTATTGAGGTGAAGCTTGTTTTGATTCCATGATTTCTTTACCGTTTCTGAGACTAATTGTTTACTAAAAGCTTTTATATGTTTGCCAACATGGAGGCCAGAAATCTATGGCAGTATGCAGTTTGTACACTTGGTTGTAGTGAAACACATGCATTGTTAATGGTGATTTCTTGTCACTAAATCTGCCCTGAGACATGTTTGTGGTTTTAGCCTCTATTTTGTGTTAAGTGGCCAAAGGTTGTCTTAAGGGTGTTTCTTTATGCCTTGCAGAGAGATTGGGCAGCCCTGCTGCATTCTGTTTGTTTGTTTCTAGAGAATACCTTCTTACGGACCCCACTATATATACTTTCTTGATCTTCTCTAATATTTTTTTTTTCAATCATGAAATGTTAAATCATAGAACTGTTCTTACAGTTTTTCTTGTTGGATGAAAAAATTCGAATATTTTAGTAGTTTATTTTGCACCATTCATCATGTACTAGTGGTTTAGATATGGTTTGTTTATATTGCTATTACTTCCAAATCACCTGATGATGTTAATGAAATAATGGTTTTCTCTAAGGGGGCATTTGATAAAGGAGAATTTTTTTTTATCCGGGAATCATGATTCCTTGGAATATAATGGGAAAGTGAGTTTTCTGGGAATGTTACTAAAAAGCTGTTTGATAGGCCAAAACATTGTTAGGAATATTGGCTAAATTTTCCGAGTCTATGTTTGGTTGATAGTAAAATATTATTAGGAATATAGGGTGAATTTACGAAATAGCCTTATCATTCTCAACTCTCTCTCTCTCTCACTCTCAGTCAACACAGAGAAAACGCCTTCTGCCTCCGTCGTCGAGCAGTTCTTCAAGGTTCATAATGCCAATTTCTCTAGCTGGCCACTGAACTCCGACGCCAAATACATGGCCTATTTTATCAAGACCTTGTGTTTGCTCCCTACGCCCCATTACTTTTTTATTCGAATGAGAGATTCTTCACATGTTTCATGGGATTAACCTTTACACAGAGATGTGGTTTTGAAATTACAGTAAACAATTCTCTTCGCCCCACCGCCAATGGCCGCGTCAAAATCAGCATGGTCATTGACTTCTCCATCAACACCCGTCTCCCAAGTTCCAAACTTTCGTTCCACCGCCACTCATATCGGCGATTGGCCCCCACCCACCTCATAGCTGGATCGAGTTGAACTTGAAGTCCCAAAAAGCTGAATTTTCATCTGGTAAATGTTGATGATGATGACAATGACAATTAAATTGTGTGAGAAAGAAGTGTCTTTGTCATGTGCAGGGGGTGAGTGTGAGAGAGAGGGATGAGAACGCTGAGTGCTGAGAAGGGTTTTTTTGTCCAAAAAATTAGTCAATTTTCCCACCATGTGGGATTTTCAGAATACCACATGTGAGATGGTATTCTGAGTTTGTAATCTTCTTCACATTTTAAAATCCTGGGAAAACAAGAAACCCAGGAAAATTTTGGTTGTTCCTTCTACCAAATGTGGTTATCTCAGACTCCCAGCCTAAGTTTACTGGGATTTTAAACTTTATCCTTCTACCAGACACCCCCTAAAGATTTCCTTATTTAGGTTATTATTTGTTGAAATTCTTGATATTGGCAGAGCATCTTTCAAATTTCAGAATGCGTTTGATATAATTATCCTGCAATACCAATATTCCTTTTCGCACAATGTATATTTCTTGTTGGGATTAACAAAGTTCTTTTCTTTAAATGTTAGGCCCTGCAAGCCCAGTCGTTCAAATATTCAATTATCCAGTCCGGGTATGATTACTGGAAAGATAAGGTACGGAATGAGCCTCAGATTATCACTTATGAGGGACATGCTTCCTTTTTGTCTGTTAATTTAATTTTAAGAATGACTTCCAATATTTGCCTTCATTAAGGCATCTGTAAATTCTACTGACCAGGGTTTAGTATATAATATATATCAACCTTCACATGACTGAATGCGGAGTGCTAATGGGTGGAGGTATTTATTCAGGCTGCTTGTTAATGCTTCACACTTTACTAATAATCCAAGGAGAGAATTACTATTAGATCATCACTAAGGAGGTGGAGATTATGTTAATTTAGGTTCTCTTTCACTCATTTATGTTGGTATTTTCTGTAACTATAATCGACCATGACATTGATTTCTTGCATTTATTAGGCAGTCATCGATGCCTTGTATCCTGTCTTTCTTTTCTTGTTTACCATATTGTTTTTTGGGTGCAGCGAGAACGGTGGCAAAAGCCAATTTTGCGACAATTGCAGGTTGGTTTTGAGCACATTACTATCAATATATTTTTTGTCACAGATACATATATTTTTTTTTTGGTAATCGTTACAGATATATATTACTGTGTATGCATTTTGAGTTAAATTTAAAATAATCCTATTGGATTTTTAATTTCTGTGTCTTGTTACTCTATTCAGCTACAATATTTTGACATAATTGTTTAAGAATTCATAATTTTCCTTTTCTGTTTTTTTCCCTTCTGCTTAACTAGCCATGACATCAAATTCTAATATGGAATCATATTTTTGTTATCCCTTGTCCTTTACTGGTTTTTGTAGGCATTTTTTTGCCATGCTGGTGCTTATTGATAACAAGTTTTTCAGTTCTTAGAGTACAAACCTTTTTGGTTTAATCTCTCTTTTAATAAGCAAGTTTTATTGATTATTGGATCTATTTTTTTCATTGAAATCTTCGCTACAGTTATTTGTATGCCTAGAGTTACTTGACAAGCCCGTTATGGAAGTTTGACAAGATTAACTGCATTTTATGTTCAGCCACCTCCACCTGTCAACGATACAAACCCATATAATGTCTTTCGGCCAAGGGAAAAAGCTCACAGGCTTCACACAAGAAGGGTAGGTGGAAAACTCAGCTTTCATTTAACCTCAGTTTTGGATATATGCTTTTTCCTCAAAGGCATTCATTTATGGAAATTGGTATGTAATTTTGGTAGACTTTTGTTGCTTGTTTTCTGTTCAGATGCAAAGGCGAGAAAACAATGTGCAGTCATTTGAAAAGCTTCGTCAGGTTAGCCCCTCTAATTGGTTATGGTTCTTGGACATCTATTAAAGGCTGTAAATTGAGCTTGAAACTTTTTCTCTGTTAAATGCCTGTCTTTCCCTTTTTCTTAAAATGTCATTCGAGTGTGTTAGGATTAACTTATCTTGAGAAATTTTTTTAGCTGAAAAGCTGTTTTGAGTAAAAAACTAAAATTTAAGTAAAATCAAAGTTTGCTTAGTTGTTTTTTTTCTAATGTGCATTGGTATTTTATTTTCTTATTATGAAATTATTCGGGGGCTTCTCTATTTGAATATTTTCTACGCTTTTGAATTTATTCAGAAACAGCTGTTTTCTTCCAATATTATATACCTTTCCCGTATATTTTGCAAAGAGACTGTTTCCTAAACTCGAACCTGCGATCTTCCGGTCATAAATGAGCAACTTTCCTACTTGTTTCAAGTGGCTGTTCAATTTTATTTTCTTCCTTTCAAATTCGATTCCCCTCCCCCCTCCCTCTTCCTCTCCCTCTCTTTCAGTATGTATCACCGGAAAATTTATTTTTAAGCTTTCTCCTTGAACAGGTCAGGCGCAACCTTGACCAAGCTAAGAGCTTGTTGCAGGCTTTAATCATGGTTTGACTTTTAAGTTATTTTTTGAGAGTTTTACCATTTTAAGTTATTTATCATTTTGCATTCATACTTATTTTATTGTTATATAATCATAACCAGAGGGAGGAGAAAAAAAGAGAAGTAATGGACAGTGAAGTTACACTACAGAGGATGCAAATGAAGTACAAGGTACTTGTATTGTTTTTCCTGCTTGCTTTCTGTCTTTCCTTAATAAAATATGCAGTCTGGTGTTTGCAATCTACCAAGACCATTATTATATTGCATTACTTTTATGTCCAAACCCCATACCCATTTTTTTATTTTGTACTAATAGAAAAAGATATTTCATAATGATACTCAAACTAGACAGTTTCACTCGGCCACTTTTGGATAATATTTAGGTTATAAATTGATTTTTGCAAAATTGAATCTTCCAAATCACGTTAGTGGCCTGAGAAAGCACTTCTTTGCCTCAAAGAATTTGAAGGTGCAGGCAGGTTTGCATGAGTTGTAATTTTTAAATTTGGCAAAATCTTACTGGCACAGAAATTGACCGAGATATAAATACGAGGGGGTAAAACTCTAGGTACAAAAAGTAACAGAAATACAACAACCAACAACCAAAGCCTTGTGCCAGTAGTTGGGGTTAGTTACATGGATTAGTGATTCAGTCAACAGCATTGAGCATCAGACTCTGTCATAACCGTAATTTTAGTGAACCATATAGGGTAAGGTCTTTTTCAATCATTTCTTTCAATGTTTTCTCAGGTGCTTGTCTTCCCATTTCAATCTATCTATCTTCCATTTGAAATTTTATCTACTTTTTGTACTAGAGCCTCGATTGGTCTCCTCACATGATCAAACCACCTTAGACAAGTTTACGTCATTTTTCTCCTATATTTGTGCCACTCCAAGTTTGCATATTTTATAAAAGGAAAAGATTCATCATTGGATTATGAAGTCCTTGATGATATTACATGACTTGCCTCTTTTGGAAAATGTTCAATAAAATCACCAATCACCAATATAATGCAAGTGCTTCATATTTGTTAGTTTGTTTTTCACATGCTCTTCATTGCAAACTTGCACTGCCACCGCCAATCCGTTTTTCACATAACCCCACCACCATTGCTCCGTCATTTGCCCTTCACCATATTTTATTACTACATCCACTGCTAATAAATATAGCACTGAATGTCAATAGAATTTACTAGTTTCAAACTTAATTGCTGAATTCTGGCTTTAACATATGGCACTTAGTCTCAAGGTGCAGTGCATTAACTCCTGTATCTGGTTGGAACCTTGGCCTCACTTCCTCCGTTATTAATCTGGGGTTAGAATTCATTTCTTCAAATAATCACCATTTAGGGTTTCTAAACAGATATAATCACCATTTCTAGTTCTTAATGGTTCGACAAAGAGTAAGATAAAGTGGGGAAGTGGAATTATGTTTCCATGAAAATAAATAATTTTATGCACTTTGCCAGATTAATCTAATACTTTCTAGGAACTATTTTTATTTTGTGGGCTGTGGATATTATTATGTGTATTTACTGGGCCATAAAAAATACATAGAGAAGTAGTTTGTTTGAACTTATGAACTGATGTATGGTTCTCTATTGCAGCAAGAAACTGAATTTTTGGAAGACAGCTTAGCATTCCCTGGATTCACTCCCTTCTCTTCCAAATTTGTTTCAAGTGAGGAGGAATTTTTTGATTCAGAAGATATCATGACTAGCCGTCCTCATACACGGTCTTCTGCAGTACAGAGTCTGCCTTCCTATGACACCAACCTGCCCATGGTTCCTACAGTTTTCACAAAGCAAGAGTTTAAGAGGCGATATGTCCCACAAGGGTGGCCTCATAAACTGGTAATTTTCTAATTCCTTTGCCCTTTTTTTTGTAGTGTCCGCTTCCCCTTGCATGCTTTTTGTATTATCTCTTATATGAGAAATGATTCCTGTAAGTTTCACACATATTGTTATTACCTTCATAGTTCAATATGGTTGTTGATGAGTTGTTGCATGGGAATGTGCAGGATCCTCTTGAGCCAGTTTTGTTGTTCACAAAACCGTTACTTCCAGAGAAGTTGGCCATGGCAGGCATTTTGCCACCATCAGATTCTTTTACTGAAAATGGGGTGTCAACACAATCATATAGATTCAGTGGAAGAATTGGCAGAGGGGGCCGTATAATATTTGACAGATGGAATCCACTTTTGCAAACTCCAATTGACTGTGGTAACTCTTATTATATGCCACCAAAACCACGGCCTTCATTCAACATGTAATTAATCTCTTTGTCAATTCTGCAGCTGAAGTTAGTACCCTTCTGGTTGATAATAATTATTAATTAGGAGGGTACGGTGTGGCAGTGTAATTGTAAGGGTAACACAAATGATTCTAGATGAATTTTACTGGGGCTGGAAGCCATATGCAAACAGAGCCAAACCTGATTAATATGTGTTGAATTCATAGTCCTATAGCGTGGATTGGTGGTCCATTCTGATGGTTACCTCACCTCGGCAATATTTAATCATGGATCAAGTATTTAAGTGGTCGAACTGAAAAAATTTAGCAAAGAATTTTTTTAAAACGAAAGAATATTACATAAAAAATTAGAATAGGATTATATTGATAATTTTTTTTTATAAACTTACAAATTATATTATGTCTGATCGGTAATACTCTCTTGAGTAGAGTATTACCGGTCAGACATAATATAGTTTGTAAACAAAAAGTTAGTAAATATAACTTTTTCAAAAAATTATGTAAAAAAAAAATCTACGTAAAGAATATTACATAATGAAATCAAACTAGTGATAGTATTACAGCGTTCATTATATTTGAAAATTGAATTGGTTGAATAATAATATAGATTAAAGAACTGAGAATATAATAATAAGAATGTATGGTTAAAGTGTATTTTACTCTAAATTCTTACACTCCTCTTTATATTTACATTTTTGTATAAGAAAGAGAGAGATAGAAAGACGAGGGAATTGATATCAGTTTACACGCACGCGCACACACAAAAGTATTGGATATAAGGCATAGGTGTGGATATCAGTTTACACGCACGCGCACACACAAAAGTATTGGATATAAGGGATAGGTGTGGAAATAAGGATGTTTGCGGTCTGAATTGGATCGGTTTTGAAAGCAAAAATTATTCGATTCAATCTCTTCGGTTTGATCGTGTAATCATCCATTCGGTTCCAATACAATTTTTTTCGCTTTGGATTGGATCGGTTTTTGGTTTTTTGAAAATTCTAAAATTTGTTTTATGATTATTGTGTAAATAACATCTTTTGTATATATTGATTTTGTAAATTTACTTAATTTATTTATTTTTGAAATACAAAAGCATCAGTAAACGATAATATAATTTTTTTTAGGGAATGAGATATGAAACTCTATACAGATAAAATTTTGTTGATAAGACGTGACTAGATTTTTTCTTGGGTTTAGTTGATGGGTTAATGGATCTTGGGTATAGAAAATTTTGGGCTATGTTTGGAGAAAGGTCCAAGTAGATAGAAGAAAATTAATATATTGGATCGATTTTCATCAATCAATCCGAAAACCGATCCAATTAAAATTTGCGATTTTTTTCGGTTTTCAATTTTTCAGTTTTCGGTTTATTCGGTTTTCGGTTTTTCGATTTGGTAACCGCGATTTGAATCGGTTTGGATCGGTTTATGAACACCCCTACGTAGAAATAACACAATATTCATTTGACAAGATAAAAACAACATCAATTTATGACTTGTCTTGTTAGAAGCAACAGTATTTCGAAACAAGACTTAACTCGTGATAAAATTTAGTTAGTTAATATTTGAGTAAATTATCCATGTTCACATTGTAAATTGTCATAGAAAATACCAAATAGACACGTAAAAGGGAAGAGTGAAAGAGAGATATCGAAAACCCCATTAAAGTGGAATCATGATAATGGGATGGGAATTTCTTTTGCAAATTGGAATAAGTACACGAATTGGAACTTCTGTGTACGTGTGACATATTGTAATTATTATTTCTAATGGGTTTTGACTATTCTTTGTTGGATGAATTCCTTCTGTTTATAATATTCCTTTTCTCTTTAAAGTCACTTTTTAATCTATTCTTCAATAATTAGCTGACAACTAACTTCCTCCAGAAACCAATCAAATCATCAAAATGCATATTAATTTTAATCACAGTCAGATATATATATTCCCTCAGCCATTCATTGTCAACTGCAAGCGAGAATAATTCATGTAAAAGATGATATATTATTGCCATTTTGGTAACATTTTGTTAGAAGTAACCAAGCACCATCTCCTCCTTGGTGGAATTGGGCTGAGCTGTAATTCTGAACAAAGAAGGTTCTTGAGGGAGGCATACAATTTCATTATTCGTGATATAAAAAAAAAAAAATCATATCTTAATTTGACGAATCAGAACCATAAACAGAGAAAGTAAGAGAATTTAACTATTTAGTGAATAGTGGTTCATTTTGGTCAATACTTGTCAAAAAACTATATATGTTAACCCACAGGCATTCAGATTAATTATGGGATGTGCATGGTTGAGAATCTAACAAGTTTGTTGGATGTTTATCATGCATGGGGTTTGGATAGAGAATGCTTTTAGTGAACCCTCAAAGGCTTCCACTACTTCATGTTATAATGGATTCAATATCCAGAAACCAGGAGGAATGGAAGCTTTAGGGGGGATCATTAAAGGAACTACTCTTGTATTTTGATTATCCGAAGAACACTACATTCAATGTTGTAAGCCAAAAACTGAGATTATTTTAACCATTTTCTTTTTTGTGTTATTGCATTGCAGTTATTGGAGTTCAATTGATCAATAGATACATGATAGTAAAACGTTTGTCAAAGACTGATTGATTACCTTTGCAAAATAATGCTATCTTATTTCGGTAGATCAAAAGAAGTATTGGGTTGTTCTTGTTTCATCACCTTGAATTGTACCCTTTTCAAAATAAATAAAGGAGGAAGTATTCATTAACCTCGCATCTAAGCATCTCATGTTGTATTTCAGATTGATTACCTTTTTTTTTGGTGATGTTGCATACAAAAAGAATATGTCATTAATGAATAATAGGTTGATATTCTTAAATTCTCAAAATTAAATTGCTTAAAGGTCCATATGATAAATTACATACACCACAAGCTATCACAATGCAGAATAAATTTAAAATATTTGACTCTTTAAATCAACCCTCCATTCTAAAAATTGAGAATACGGCAAAAGCCCTTGAGCTACTAAATTTCTTTAAAAGTGGAAGGCTCTATGTGAGGGATTCAATCAACCCTGGTGACTAAAATAATCTTATAGTTAAATTTCCCATAACCTTCTGGAGACAAATATTATCTCTCAAATAACACTATACTAACAAGATCTTGAGCCATTTGCAGATTCCATCTTTTCTATTAATTAATCTGTTTGGATATCAACAGGCTAGAATTTAAAATTCTACGATTCCTACAATTCTACACACCATATACGTCACATGTGTTTGTTAGAAATAAAGAAAATCTCAGATTTGACAAAGTGTTACTGAGTGGATCCTCCATCGTCTTATTTAACATGATCATATTATATGAAAAAATCTTAACCATACTATGATGAAATCAAGAATGATAACGGAAGAGAGAGAGAGATAAAATATTAGAAGAAGAAGTTATAAAACAATCATCGTCAATTTATTCATTGATTATTAAGATAATCTCATATAATATAATCATATTAAATAACACATGAAAAGATCTATATCCATTATCTGTAATGGATGCGTATTGGAATGGACACTAATTTAAACGTTAATTCATATGTCTAATCAAAACAAATCATTGATACAGGTCTCCCCTGTTTTGGACTCTTCTTGATAGGTATAATAAAGCGGAAATCATATAAGAATTCATATTTTTTATGTTTTAAGATTTTGAGTTAAGATGTAATATTAGATTCACTTATTTTGATTGGGCTAGTTTCAATCATTGATAGTAGTAGTATTTTATCATGACATTATTTAAATATTTATTTTTTACATATTTTATTTGGAATTATAAATATACCTCATATAGTATATTCAATTATCAGATTTTTAGTCTAAAACGTTTAGGGTGAAGAAAGTTTTCTTATGATAAACCAGTGTTAATAAAAATGAAGCAATGTTGGCACATTTTTTTTTATTTGGAGGTTGCATATATTGATATTGGTGTAAATCTTACATCGAGAAATAACTTTTAATTCTAAAAAAAATTAATTTGATTTTTATTTCATTTGGAAATATGGATTTTATAAGAGTTATGTTGTAGGAAAAATGATTGCGTTATGTTATAGAGATTCGTTTTGCGTGCCGTAGTTTTTGTTTTCCTTTAAAACATGCGAGTCCCACAAAATGTTGTGTGTGTAGAAAACTTTTTGTGGTCATGTTAAATGATGAAGGCAAACCCTTGAAAATATATATATATATATATATATATATATATATATATATATATATATATATATATATATATATATATATTACTTTCATAATTTTAACCCAAATATGTTAATGGGCAAAGGTCTCGCCAAGATACTTCTCCTAACTAGGATCAAAATTTTAATTTTGGAATTTGAAGAGTAACTTTTATTAATTATATAATATACTTACAAAACCTAACAGTACAATATATTTTTTCGATTTTAGAGAAAATATAATATTGAAGACAATTTGATATATTTAATGGAAAGGGTTATATAATATTAATACAGCAAGAAATTCAATATTTGTAAAAAAAATATTAATTAATATAAATATATGAAGTTTGTTTGACTCTTGAAGTGACTAGATTCCTCATTTAAAACGTGTCCTAAAGAATGATGTTTAGCTTGAAGTTGAAAGCATGGCTACAGTATTTGACTTTTGGCTTCCTTGAAGAAAGGATACGCACAATTGGAACAGGGCAAAGATACTCGTAGCAATTTCAAAGCATTTGAAAATAATGAAAAGCATTCAAAATGGATACGAATTATTAAAGAAAAGGTATTTGTGTATAAAAAGTTTTATACTATTTATCAAATAATAAATAAAAATATATATCTGAAAATACTATTTTTTTTTCAAACAAATAAAGTGAAGAATTAATTAACCACAAAAAAATTTGTGTAATAATTTTGATTATAATTATCATAATTAATTACTCAAATTATTAAGGTTTGTCAGCGATCTTTTGCTCCTTCATCTCTATTAATTACGTTTTTGTTGGACTTGTTATCTGATGCAGACAAATTCCAGAAAGACTTTCTGTCCAAAATTTTAAAAATTAAAACCCTGTTTATAAAATTTGTAATTTTTTTTTTCGAACTATCAACATGTAGCATTTTATAAAAATACTAATAAATAGGCGTATTCTTGACTATTTGACCCTTTTGCCCCTTATTAATTAATTAATAACCATTTTGCCCCTGATTCGAAACTATCTATCAATCTGCC